CGAGGGCTCGTGCCTCGACGTCCAAGGCGTGGCTCACGGCGCACCCCAATGCCAGTATTTGGGGCATGGGCGGCGGCAGATCTTCCTCCGACTCCGCCTTCGACCTCAACCTTGAGACGGAGATATCGGACTGCCTGGACGAGCACGTCGTAATCGTCATGCTGGACGCCTGGAAGTTCTTCGAGACGATTAAGCCCGAGTGGCTACTCATCGAGGCGCGGCTGCTGGGCATGCCGCTGCGGTTGGTCTGGATGTTGATTGAGTTATACAGGCAGCCGAGGCGGCTGCAAGCCTTCGGCTCGGTGTCCTACGCGGTCGTGTCTCATCAGGGCGTGCTCGCAGGATGCACTCACGCCTGTGCCATGGTCACCTTGCTCATGTTCAGGCTGCTCGAGCAGGTGCGAGATGCAGGCGTCACCCCGAGGGCCCTCATCGACGACGTCACCTTGCAGTGGCGCGGGAGGCGGCTCTCGCAACTGGGCGTGCTTTGGGCGGCCACCACCAGGTTCCGCGAGGGCGCCCAGGAGCGAGGCATTGTCGTGCAGCCCACCAAGTCGGGCTACTTGGTCTCATCGGACGCAGCTGCTCGCGAGTGTGCCCGACACGCGGCGGCCCGCAAGCTGACCAAGATGCGCTGGGCCCGCAACCTGGGGCATGATCTGGGCGGGCGCAGAATCGCTAGGCTCCAGACGGCAAAGCGGGTGCGGCAGCTCAAGGAGCGGCGCGGCAAGTTGGCAGCTTTCAAAGGGGCAGTGGGCAGGCGCGCTACCTGCCTGTGGAAGACGGGCCTCATGCCGAGTGCGGCGCACGGGGCTGGGGTGTCAGGGCTCACCGACGATACGCTGCAGGTGCTGAGGGCCGAGGCTGGCAGGCTTGCAGGGGCTCGGCCAGGTGCATCGAGCGTCACGGTGTATTTAGCCACGCAGAAGGCGCGCGAGTACGACCCCATCTACGGCGCCACCTGCGACATCGTTTGCCGATACGCCAGCTGGATCTGGGAACAACGTACCTCCCTGGCTAGGCTACACAGGGCCTGGGCCAAGGTCACGGAGCGGCTCGTGGGGCGCCCGTCTTGGGCAGAGGCTCGCGGTCCCATCGCCTCCGTCACGCTGACGCTCTGGCGCATCGGATGGCACATGTACTCCAGCACGACCCTGGTCACCGACCAGGACACGGCGATCAACCTCCTCACCACGTGCCCGAAGGACGTCAGGATGCATCTGACCGACGGCGTGCAACGCTGGCAGGCGAGGCAGATCGCGGCGCACCACCGCCAGCACGGCGAGGTCAAGCCGTGGGTGCGGGCCATGCGGCTCTGCGTGGGCGACGGGCGCGCGGCGTTGGCGGATGGCCCGTCGGCCACCAGCCTGCGTCACCACTGGGCGGCGGTGGCCTGGACGCAACAGGCCCAGCACGACCTTGGGCTGGCGGCGGCGCCGAATTGCAGGGCCTGCGGACATCCATCCGACTCGCCTGGGCACAGATTTTTCGGCTGCGAGGTACTCGTGCAGCCGCTCACAGATGAGGAGCAGGACGAGCAGCTGCCGCCCGAGCCGACGCAGGCCATCCGCACCTTCATGTGCGACAAAGGCTTGCAGGAGGGCGGCAGCTTCGAGAGCGCCGACTTCCAAATGTGCTTGCCCTGCATGCCGCCTTTCGTGCCGCCCGCCGCGGAGCAGGCCGAGGTGAAGTGCTGGGGCTGCTGGCCTAGCCAAGGGGCGGACACGGCCTCCTGCAGCAACGTCGTCTTCACCGATGGCTCAGGCTTTGCGTCCAGCATGCCCGAGCTGAGGCGCTGCGGATGGGCCTTCGTGCAGCTTTCCCTCCAGGGACTGCCTGTTCGGGCGGCGTTCGGGGCGCTGCCAGGGCCGCTCCAGACGGTCGGGCGCGCGGAGAGGCACGCGCTGCTGCAGGCATTGCGGCTCGCGGGGCCGCAGCTCGAGTTCGTCTTCACCGACCTTTTGTCGCTGGAGAAGGAATGCAGCCACTGGGGGCAGGAGCTAGAGGAGGCGCGAGCGGCACATGCCACAGTGTGGAGACGGATTCGTGCCCAGCCAGCGCGGCCTGAAGTGAGATGGATCCCCGCGCATCAGGACATGGATGCGTACTTGAACCGAGGCCTCCACCCGCTGCTGTACTCTGGCAACATGTGGGCCGACTGGTTCGCTCGGCAAGGAGCCATGCAGCATGCCGTGTCGAAGGTGTACGAGGAGTTCTACAACATCGAGCTGCAACACTACAAGAGCCTGGCAAAGTACGTCGGCTGGGCGATGCAGAGGACGATGCACGCAGGCCGCTGGGACGCGCCCGAGCAGACAGCCCGCCCGCCAAAGGTGCCCAAGGTGCAGGCGGCGACTGTGATCAGCCACTCCCTGGTTCGCTTGAACGGGACGGCGGTGGTGCTGTGCCGCGCCTGCTGCAGGCAGACCAGCGGGCAGACGGGGCCCACATGGACGCAGTTCGCGCGTTCAGCCTGCGAGGCCAGCCAGTACACCGCGCTGCGGGCCGAGGCCATCATCGAGCACGTCGGTGCGCAGCCCATTGTGGTCTCGGAGGCGGGCGAGTTCGCTATGCAGGCGATCGAGCGCGCGGCGTGCCCCGAAGATGCGGGGCCCAGGCCAGCCGAGCCTGCCCCCTGGGGCTCAGGGGACGCTACCATCGAGATGCAGGGGCACAGGCTGAGGCGCGCAGGGCCCACCATCTACTGCGAGGTATGCGTGGCGTGGGCGGCGACAGGCTCCTCACTGGCCCTCGCTGCGCCCTGCGCTGGCCCGCCCAGCGCCGAGGGCAAGAACCAGCGCACCTACCTGTCCAACCTCAGGGCGCGGCTCAAGAAGCTCAGCCAAGGGCTGCACCCCAAGACAGGAAAGGTGCTCACTTGGGGAGGTGCAGGCGAGGTTCCAGACGGCCCCAGAACATGGGCCACAGCAGCGGCCAGCGCGGCCGCGGGCGACATGGCCTCTGGGGGCGACGGCGCTGCAGAGCGGCCAAGCGGCAAGCACGCGCAGATGGAGCAGGGCGAGGCGACCAGGCCTGGCCAGGACCACGAGACGCGCGAGGTGCCTGCAGGGGCTGGAGGTTCCGACGAAGTCCAGACCAAGAAGCCTGCTCGGCGGGTGCGACAGCAGGAGCTTCTGCAACGGATGCAGCGAAGGCAGCAGCATCTGCTAGCCGAACGTGGTCCAGCAGCCGCCAGCGGCGCGCTGTGTGATGAGGGAGACATGGCCGACGGCAGCTTGCCCTCGGCCGATGGAGCGCACCAATGCCCCGACGGGGGCACCACTGGACTGGTGACGCTCCAGCCGCCGCCAGCTGCCCCAGACGCGGGGGTGGTCGATGCCTGTCTGGCGGCGGGGCCGTCGCGGCTACCTGCGCCCTTGAGGTGTGACATGGCACACGTGGCGACGCTGACCACGGACCACCTGGAGGGCGCTGTGACCAGCCCTCAGGACATGAGCAGCCCGCCGCAGCCGTTCTCGACTTCCGATATGGCCAGCACCAGGGGTGGCAGGGGACCTGCAATGTGCGGTCGTGAATGCGGCCCCGCCCTGAGTGCTGGCAGGTCTGACAACCCACAGCGGGCGCTGCCAGGCATGGCCAGTGACAAGGGTGGCAGGAGGCCTACAAGCCGCGACCCTGAGAGCGGCCCCACCACGGGCACTGGCGGCGACGGCAGCCAGGCCCACTGCGTTCGGCGACGATCTACGGCCTGGGCCAGGGGTGGCAGGGGACCTGCCATGTGCGTGCGTGAGTGCGGCCCCGCCCTGAGCCCAGGATGCGACGAGGACCACGACGGCAAGAGTATGGCCAGTGCCAGGGATGGCAGGGGACCTGCAAAGTGCAGTCCTGTGCGCGGCCCCGCCCTGGGCACTGGCAGCGGGTCTCTGGGAGCGGCTTCGCCTGGGGAGGACCAGCGGCAGCCGCAGCTGGCTTCTGGGGAGGCGTGTCCACGTGCAGCTACGGCTGGTGCCAGGGGTGGCAGGGGACCTGCAGTTTGCGGTCCTGAGTGCGGCCCCGCCCTGAGCACCAGCACCCACCCCGATCGGCGACGGAGTACGGCCTGGGCCAGGGGTGGCAGGGGACCTGCAATGTGCGTGCGTGAGTGCGGCCCCGCCCTGAGCCCAGGAAGCGACGCGGACCGCGACGGCCTGTGCATGGCCAGCACCAGGGGTGGTAGGGGACCTGCAAGTGCCGTTCGTGTGTGCGGCCCCGCCCTGAGTGCTGGCAGCGTTGCGGTGGCTCGGCCTGAGCCAGCGCAGCCGAGGCGCAGCGTCGCGCCCAGGCTTGAGCTGCAGGTCGCTGGATGGGCGAGGTACTGGACCCAGGCTCCCGAGGTCGGCGAGACGATGGAGTGCTACAGCGAGTGGCTCGACCACTGCGTCGGTTACGTCACGCAGATCCTGTCCCAGCCGCGCTTTGCCACCAGGCTACGGGCGCGCGGGAGGACGGCCGAGGAGATGGCCGAGGAGATCTGCGAGCGAGCCTGGGGGACTGGCATGCCTGCGAGGCGGGCCTACTACAGGTGGCGCAACACGCTGACGCGGTCGCAGAGGATCGTGTCGGACTGCATGCGGCGCTACGACTACGTGTGCCTGCGGTCGTGGCTGGCCGAGCTGCGGCGTGAAGGGCAGCCACCGCCCATTGGCCCGCTCAGAGCGCCTTCGGTGCCGTGGAATGCGGGACGCAGGAGGCGACGGAGGAGTGGGTGAAGGTCGGCCTCTCCTGGCACGGCCAGCCGCTGCGTGGCGTTCTGGCCCCAGCGGCTCGCCGCAAGGCGCTGCGCGGCGACCTGGCCCCAGCGCGCCGCCCTTCGCGTTCGACGTGATCGGCGCCACTGGCCTCCCCTGAGGCTGCGGCCCCCTGGCCGCCTGTGCTGCGTCTAGTTGGCCTGGCCGACGCGACGTCCTGCCGCTGCTCTTCGCTGCTCTCCTCCTCCTCCCCCTCCTCCGCCTGCCCCCCCCCCCCCCCCCCCCCGCGGATCTCTCTTGGCCCGCGGCGAGGCGCGGGCCCTCGCTGGGCCTGGGGCTGGCGCGCCCCTGCGACGAGTGCTCCAAGGTGATCTGCGCGCTCGGCTGCTTCAGGCCCTGCGCGAGCCGCGCGCAGAGGGGGGCGGGGGGGAGGGGAGGAGGCTTCTGAGATGCAGGGGTGCTCGCGTGCTTCTAGGAAGCCTTCCCCCGTCCCCCCCACCTCCCTTGCGCGCGCCACGAAGTACAGTCGTTTGTCTGATCAAGACACCTCCTCACGAAAATCTGGGCCGGCGCTGCTTGGCCGACTTGCCCGAAAGCCAGCCCAGGCTGTTAAGAAAGTTCGTCCCTCCAGCGTGAATGGATGATTTGGCCCCGTTTTGTTTCAAGAGATTTCGGAAATCTCGCCCAGGGTTCTTAACTGATCGGCTGCAATTCGGCAGCAAATCATGGCAGCATTGTGTACCCTCGTGGATCCCTTCATTCCAGCGCACTAGCGTTTATTAGCGTGTGGTAACCGATGGAATCACGCCAATTTGGCGTCGATTAATTCGATTAGTCGATGAGCGAGTGAGAGACGACTAGCGTCGACCAGCGTCGACTCGCAAGAGCCAATCGGATGTTATGGGAGGCGCCCACGAGTTGCCGCAGAACCCTAAGCCAGCGGGGTGCGCCACGCGAAGGTTCTCGAGTTGCCCCGAGTTGCCCCCCAGTGGCGCGAAGGTAATCGCGCTTCGCGACTCGCTGCTCGGATTGGGGAGGCACCCTTTTCCAGGGCGGCGGCGCGAAGGCGCCAAGATCGTCCCAAACGGCCGCCGGAGCCCCCGGTTGCGCGCAAGTTCTTAGAATAGTTTTCGTTGTTTCTCGAGCTTGCAAGAGTGCGAAACCTGGGGGGGCATTCCAACAGCTGCGACTCGCCGAGGTTCGCGGGGTTTCGCCGATCTCTCGAACGGCCGCCAGAGCCCCGACTTGCGCGCAATTTCTGAGGGAGATTGTTCTAGCCTGCGAAAATCTCCAGAAACGGGGGGGTGCTCCATCAGCTGCGCCTCGCCAAGGGTGTTCCAGGGGTGCGCGGATCTTCCCGAACGGCTGCTTGACACCCCCTTGTGCACTGCATCTCTCCGCTCCGCCTCTGGCCCCATCGTCGACGATGCTCGTTCGATGTTGCACCGTAGGCAGTATGGCCCGAAGAGTCCCTAGGGGCGAAGCGCATGAAAGGAAACTGAACAGGGGCTACCTGTCCGCTACAGAGCAACACGAGTTAGACTGCTTGAGGCATAATGCAGAAATCACAGTCTAAGATGGGCTCACGTGTGGAACGAGCGGCCGAAGACGTAGTTAAGAAAGGATTCCCCTCATAAGTTTGATCTGCCCGCTGAACTGCTCAAAGTATGCAGCCACCTAACTGGAATACCAGAGCACATATAAAAGCGGCAGGCTGCGACAACCGCGTAAACAGAGGAGGAAGCAGGCTGAGGCTGGCCGGCTTCGGAACCGAGGGCTTTTCACCACGGCAAGGAAGGGTTACCTTGCCGAAGCGCCCTTCGGAGCCGCCCGAGATTGCAAGATCGTAGCCTCCTTTTCTGCTTGGTTGAGACTCAATACCAGGTTTCTTGTTGCCGGCGGCGACTTGGGCCCAAGACGCGGTCGGGGCAGCCGAGGAACACATGGAGGCCGAAGTGGGCACAACAGGAAACGGCAAGGCGCGGAGGGGGAGAGGAAGCCGCGGGCAGCGAAACACGCTCAGACCGTGAAGATTTTGTGTTTCTTTGCTGGAGCACAGGCTCTCACTGGCAGCAAGCTGGGAGTGGCAGGGCAAGACATGCGGCCGGACGAGGGTGCGGCAAGTCCACGAGAGGCCGGGTGGCGTGACTCCCAAGCGACTGCGCACGCAAGTCATGCCAAGGACAGGACTCGATCCAACAAGAGTTCTGGACCGAAAGCCTCCGCGGGAGGCGGCGGCGGTGCGGCGTGCTGCGTCGGCGGGCCGCGGCGGCGGGCCGCGACGGCGGCGGTCCGATGGGCGTCGGCGGCGGTCTCGGGCCTCGCGGGCCGGCCTCGACGTGCTCGCGCGGTCGCGGCTCCACCGCCGTCGTCGTCCTCGCGGCCTTGCCTGATTGAGGAATCGCTGCTCAATATTTGACAGTTTGTTGCGGCTCGAGTAATTTGTCCGGACCGCTCGGGCACAAGGGGAAAACAGTGTAGGCGGGAGCGCGCCCTAGAGACGCCGCCCGCCGCCGTCGTGGCCGCCGCCGCCGCCGTGGTCGCTTTCGCCGGCGCCGCGGTCGCTTTCGCCACCGCCGTCGTTAGCCAAACGGGTCCTGCGGGAAACGGGTCCTGAGGTATTTTGCTGTTTTCGGGCTCCTTGGGCCCTCCACGGGCCCCAGGATTGTCTGACAACGATTCAGGACGAAGAATTGGTCCTGGGGGAAGGCTCTGGGGTCCAAGACCCGTTGCCCACAGGACCCGTTTCCTGTTTGTTAAGTCGTCAGCGCCGCCGCTGGGGGCAGGGAGGGGCGGGGGGGAGGGGGAAGGGCGAGGGAGGTCGTGTTTCCTTCTTCTCTCCCTTGCCTCCGGGGTTTTTCCCCCCCCTTTCCCGGGGCGAAGGCCCCGGGGGTGCCAGCTGTGGCGCCAGTCCTTCGGTATCGCCACCAGCTGGGGGGGGGGAAGGGGAGGAGCAGGAGGAGCGGGGCGGAGATGACGAGGGAGGCTGAGACTCAATGGGAGGCAGAAGTTGTGCGTTTGTGCGACGCGGGGCGTTGTAATGAGCGTGCTCCTGATTGCTGATTCTTGGTGGCTCCCGTGAGCGGAGGCGTCACAGAAAGTACCTGATAACAAGAGTTGGTTTGGGCGCAAATCGTAGAGCCCGCAGGGAGAGTGAATTGGGGTGACCCACGACGAGGGAGCCTGACATCAACGCTACCTTGCGACGGAGCTCTCAACATAAGGTTCAGAGAGGGCCCTAGGCGGCCTCACCCAAAAGGAGGACCCGCTGGAAAATGAGGGATCCGTCCCCCGGCAAGGAAAGGCAAGGAAAGAAGAGTGGGAGATAGATAGGAAAGGGAAAAGGTAAGGCCCTCGCTACGGCGGGATATCCTCGAAGAAGACCGCCTCCACCAAACACTTGAAGTCAATAGGGCGGCGACCCTCATGGAAAGGATGTACACCTTGACGTAGAGCAAGTCCTCCAAGCCCTGCTATTTTGCTTGCAAGGAACCGATCTGGATCACAGGGTCGGACTCGCAATGCAAAAGGATACCAGACATTCTGTGCTAGCAAATCCTTTGGCGCTCTCCCATATCTGCCGCGATTGTCGGGGGCTGCTGCGGCATGCCAGGCAAGGTGGGGGCTACTGGCAGAGCACAAGCCCACCTCTGCTCTACCAGGCAGGCTGTCTGTATCTCCAGGAGGGTTGTTGTGCTCGACCACCTTTTGGGCACTATCGTGCTGAGGGCCGTGAGCAATCTGCCCAATCGGGGCCCGAAATCTGGTAGCCACCAGGTACCAGGCGGAACCGCAGGAGCATAAACAGCGGTATCGTTGATCTCGGCGTCCGACTGCGAGCAATGCTTGGCTAAGAACGCGACGTCCTTCATCCAAGGCACACGACCCACGCTCGCACAATATCCCAACCGCCAAAGGAAACATGGCGTTTGAGCCTCGGGGAGGGTCTCGGATCTTCCTCGTGGGCGCAGCCAGCCAGGCGGCGGCTGGCGCGCGTGGATGTTGTTCCGACGGACGGGGTCCTAAAGCAGCACCCTGTTTGTTGGACGGGCCCCAGGAACCAGGACGGCGGCTCGAGGCAGGAGGAGGGAGGAAGGGTGAGGGAGGTGGATTCCCTTCGGGAATCCCCCGATATATTGAAACGATAGTGAGAAGATCAGCAGGGACCCTGCGCAAGGATGGTACGCACACCTCGAAAATTGCATAATTAGGCCGCCCACGCGCGAGGAGGGTTGAGCTGGAGGAGCTGGCGCACGGCGGATCCGGAGGAGAGACGGGATGGGGCACGGGCTGCAGAAGCCTTGGCAGAGGGGTGCACGTAATCAGTATCGTTCCGCCGATCCCCATCCCCATCCCCATCCCTATCCAGACCCCCACCATCCCACCATCTCAGCAACCAGTTGGGGATAGACCCCTCGAAGCCCGCGGAAAACAGCCTAGATCCCAATCTAGGGGCGTACATGGGCCAGGCCCGGGCCACGCCCATGGGGATAGGGGTCGGTAAATCGGCGCTCATGTAAGGCGTTCTCCTCCGCCCTGTCTCCCCGCTCGCACTTCGTGCTTTCCTGCGCCCCCCCTCCCCTCCGCTCCCGGGAGCCACTTCCTGGCAGCGGTCAGCCACGTGCAAAGGGGGTATGGGGGAGAGGGAGGGGGGACAGCCTGCCTTCCCGCCGGCTGCTCCGCCTGCCGGCGACCCGCGACCGGGCCGGGTTCGGGAGCACCAGAGGTGTTCCAGAAGCCGGCCAAGCAGAAGGAGAGAAAGAGCAGGAAGAAGAAGAAGAAGCTGGAGATCCCTGTGGGGCATCGGAGCGATTTGCCCTCGAACCCCACCTCTACCCCTACCCCTCCGAAGTATGCCTTCCTGCCCACGGCAGGAGGGCATGCGGTCACCGATCCAGGGGCTGGGGCGGGCCGGCCAGGGTCGGTGCAGGTGCACAGTGGGCGCCCGCCTACTTTAGGGGTTCACAATTCCTTTGCTCTGCCACGCGCAGAGGAAGTACCCCTGCCTCTGAGAAGGCGCGGGCCCTGTCTGTAGATGTAGGGCCGGCGCCTTCTAAGAAGGCTCCTTCTCAAAGGCACCCCCCCACCCCATCCCCCCTTGTGCGCGCCGCCAAGGCAGATGGTTAGACGCTCACGGTTTCCGCGAAACGCAGCAGTGCGAGTGGTCAGGCGCACGCGGCGATTTTCGTGACCACCGATCGTCAAGTGTCTCTTTGTCAGAGATGTTTGGCACGGGTGTGTGATTGAGCGGTTTGCCCTCCATGAGTGGCCGAGTCATTGAGCTATGCACGCATGTTTTGTCGGGGGGAGAGGCCCAAGAAGAGCCACACGCGCTCGAAGATCTCGATCTTCGAGCCTGGATTCTGGAATTTCGGTCCCGGGGCTCACCAGGTTGACCCTGCAGCCTCTCCTGGGGTCCTCGGGTGCGTATTGGCCAGGAGCTCACAGCGAGTCTAGCCGTGGCGACGATGGCGCCATATGTCAAACGGCGGCGAAAAATCCGAATCGTACCCTCGCCGATTAACGAGTCAGGCAATTCGAAGTGGGGGGGGGGGACAGGGTTCGGCATTCCCCGAACACGTGGCGAAATCCGAGCCCTGGCCCCGCCCGCTATCGATTCAGGAGGACCGCTGGTTTTTGGAGGTAGGATTCGGATGTCGCCACCCACAGAAGCTCGAAGCAAGTCAAGCCGTGGCGACGAGAACGCCCTACCAGGCCCACGACGGCTTCAAAACGTCCTCCAAACTTGGTGCTCGAACCTCTCGAACCTCGATCCTGGAACGTCAGTTATATCCTCTGGCCCACATCCGTCCACAAGCGCTCCCTGGACCTCTGCCATGGTTCCACCCCGGCAAGCTCTGCGAGCCTGGTCCAGCCGTTGCCGCGAGAGCCTCTTGAGCCGCACAGAGACGTCCGAGACGAGGGCGCCGTCTTCGTCGTCCTACCTCTCCTCGCACGGCCCCTGGCGCCGAGAGGCGCGTGGTGTACTCCACAGAGGACGGGCGCCTCGTGAGCGTCGCCCCAGAGGCGCTCGCCGCGCGCGGTTGCGCGCCGGCGCCGTCGCGTCGCCGTCGCCGCCGTCGTCGCTCGAGCGTCGAGGTGCGAGGGTCGAGGACCTCGGCCGTGACGGGGTCCTTGCTGGGCCTCGCGGGGGGCGCCCCCGTGGCCACGGCTGGGTCGACCTCGAGAGTGTGGTCGGCACGTGCTCCAGGACCACGGCAGATTTGGGGGTAGTCGTCGTCGTTATCGTCTTCGTCGCGCGTCGTCGGCGGCGGAGGAGCAGGAGGACGAGGAGTCCTGATGTTCCCTGGATCTGTTTGGTGGGGTGGGAGCTCCAAGAGAGGGCTCGCCGCGCCTCCCAATATCCTGGTTACAAGCGCGCCCTAGCAGGAAGAAGAGAAGGCAGAAGGGCCAGTCAAGACAACGGCGGTGCTCCCCTGTTTCATTTTGTTAACTACTTCTGGGCCTCCTGGAGGCTTCTCGTCGCCACGGCTGGAGCCGCTTCGAACCCTAGCAGGGCTGCAGGGATTTGTTTGAGTGGATACGCGCCCCAACTCCTACCCAATCCCCCCCCCACAAGAGACCTCAGCAACTTTGAGTGTGTCTGATCTCCCACAGGACAGTCAACACACTACAACAGCATTGCACCTCAAAGGGATGGCCCAGTCAAGGGGGAAACATGGTCAATGGGGGGAGCGGAAGGGCGAAGGAGGGAAGGGACGAAAAGGGGAAACGACTGGCCAAGCCTGTGGGTGGACCCTGGCACTGTCCCTGCAGTAGCTTTGATCTCTCCGAGCTCGTCTTGCTCCCCGCTTCTGCCCATCTATCCCGACCTCCTCCAGCCTCCCCTCCGTCTCCGCACCTACTCTTCACCTCCAGCATGATAGGACCCCTCTCCTTGGCCCCTTTGTTAATCCACCCTTCTCTGTCTCTATCCCTTCTCTCTCTCTGTTCTTTCCGCCCTCGTAGATATTACATACATATGCATAAACATATACAACGTATCTTTACACACAAATATGCTGGTATTCATTTATATATATATATATACAAGCTCCTCGACCCAACCAACATTTGTTGGACAAAAGTTCGGCGGCTGCGGCGGGCTCGTCTTGCAATGCGTGAAATCCGGTGCTGGTGGCTAGCTTCTCTAGAGCCTCGCAGATTGCGGACGAATTCGCAGCACCATAGCCATTTTGGCTCAAGGGTTGGCTCAAGGGGGCTCAAGTGGCTCAAGGGTCGAGTGGCTCAAGAGCAAATCCGGCTCACATTAAGACCAGTACTATCTTGACCTCTCTTCGCTTTCAATTCTAAGCCCGATTCTCAACTTTGGTATATTGTTCTCACTTGTGCGACCCACTTGTGGACAACACTGGATATCTCAAGCATGGAGAAGGGTGGCAAAAAGAAGGCTTAGGACAAGAAGCTAAAGGCGGAAGGAGAGAAAGAGGATTAACTAACAAAGAATGCGGTCGTGGACGTGGAGGAGAAGGACATGAGGGGCATGATGAAGAGGATGATGAAGATGATCGCATTCGGCAGGAGGTGAGGTGCGCACCAGGCCGCTCATCGCATTCGGCTTCAAGGAAAAACTCGAGAAGGAGAAGGTGATCGAAGAGCTAGAGAAAATCGGTAAAGTATCATTGGGGGCCGATTCGGGTACACGTGTCGAAGCAACAATGACCCCAACCAAATCCGAAGCGATTGAGTATCCAAGCGTCCAGCAAAATAATAGGTATTGTAAGGAATAAGTTGGACAATGACGAGGATGCTTTTGGAGATGTGTTCTTCCGGAACAACCTGACCAGGATGAGAGGGAGCGAGAGAAGCGGAAGGGGTACACAAAGTACCACCTCGGCCGCCATGAAGATCACAAACAGAGAAATGTGAAAATATTGGGGGACAGGGGCGTGGTAGTGGTAAAGGACAGTACGGGATCGGAGAGAAAGGTCGCATGGTAAGACGAAATGGGGGAACGGCGTACGATTGCGACAGGAAAGGCCGTGGAGACGGAGGTGGAGGAGTCTATGGGCAAGTGGCGCGGCAAGGTCTTCCCAGACCCTGCCACGGACAGCGAATTTCGGCGTGAAGAGCACCATGGGCAGGCTTGGACTGTCCCAAGTACCAGTAGAAGGATGGCATCAGCACTATCATCTACACATTTGGGCGAGGGAGGGCGAGCACACCACTCACCAGCCAGCGCGTCATCTTACGAACAAGGGCCCGTACATTTGACTCTGGATCCGAGGGGTGGCAATGGGGAACAGTTTCTGCAGTAGCTTTTCCGAAACGCTTCAAATCAATATGAGGGGGGCTCCGAGACTGTGTTCTACAGCACCCAGGTAGATAAATCAATTTGGGGAGGTCGAGGAGCATATCAACATGTTGATCGAGACTTCCCTGCAGGATCAATTCAACCTCCCAGGACCTACCCGGACATCTGCCTCGAGGAGTCTGCGCCGACGGCCAGGGCAGTAGTTACGATGGCAAGATCCATTTTTCACAGATGTTGTCGACAATGTGTCTGTGAGAGTGTACACCAAGAATGTGCACTCGTTGCAAAGTGCATTGCGGGAGGAGGAGTTGTTCGAGGAATTGCGGAACTTGGAGTGGGACGTTGTGCTATTTACAGAAACTTGGCGTGAGAAGCGACGTGGAAGATGGAAAACTAGAGACGGACATTTGTTCTGAAGCTCGGGAGGCCTCAAGGGAACAAGCGGGACGGGGGTATTATTGCATCAACGGTGGGTTGGTGGATACCGTGCTTGTCATCCAGTTTGTGACAGAGTATGTGCACTATACGTCCGAATAGCAGGCCGGAGTGTCAGATTTATCTCTGTATACATGCCGCATTGTGGATACGACGATGCAGACGTAGAGGGCACTCATTTTCATTTGGACCGATTGCTGCGTCCCGCCAGGAGGACAAATCGCATGTGTATATTGCTTGGTGACTGGAATGCAACAGTCGGCTCTCAGAGTGATGGCGATGACGGGAATATTGTTGGACGATACGGCGTGGGATGCAGAAGCGAAAAAAGGGCAACAGCGCAAAAAAGGATCACTGCAAATACGATGTTTGAGAAGAGCTTCGACGAACAATGGACTTTTCAAAACGATGGTGTAAGAAGACCGCTGAATTATTGTCTGGTCGATTTTGTGGCCGAAGAATGTTATCGCAGACGTTGAGGCGAACGACGACATCGTCATCGGTCAAGGTCACCGCGCCCTCAAGGTTACCTTCAAGTGGGAGTCCCAGCAAAATGGGGAATCAGTCAAACAGTCCAGGCCTCAAAAACGCAACTTTCGACGATGGGGCCTTTCAGACAAGAAAGAGTATTGGAGTCAGTTCGATGCACAGCTGGAATCACTGTATTCGATCGCTGGGGATGAGACGATGTTGCGCGAAATTGAGCAGCGACGCCATGCAATTGATCGCATTTCAAGTTTGCGACGAGAAGGGGAGACTCGACGCTCAGGAAAACGAGGCTGCAAGAGACCGACTGCGAAAGATGATCGCCCACACGCGGTCCGCAAGACAAAGCGGTGACAAAGAGGACGCGGCAGCAACGAGTAAAGCCGTTAGGAAAGAAGTTCGCGCCATGGCCAGGGCGCGGAAGGGCGCTCGTATAACTAAGGTGTTGGATGAGTTTCAAGATTTACAAAGAATCGCTAGTATACGTAACGATGACAAGACAATGCGTGTGTCTTCTGTTTTGGGCGCGAACGGCAAGGAACAAACCCATGCAAAAAACATCGCTGACGTATTTGCTGTATTTTTCGGGTCCTTGTACGATGGCGACGGGAAAGAGCTCCACAATCATGAGGGCGACGATAAGCCCATGGCTGTCTCACCAGAGGAGGTGCGAAGCCAATTGAAAAAATGCGAGGCGGCAAAGCTGCCGACGAGAATGGAATGGAGTTGTGGCTGAATGATTGAGCAAAGGGAGCGATTTGTTGATGACAACTATTGCAGATGTCTTCACAGCCGTGCTGGATCCCCAGGCGACTACACTAGAGTATTGGACATCCTCTTTAATCTAATTTCTTTCCAAGACGGGAGAAGATTGTTTACCAGCTAATTTCAGACCTATCTGCGGTATCCCAATATTGCACAAACTGTTCAGCCGGGTATTGTGCGGGAGAATCAAAGACATACTTATACCATAACAATCTTACATACGACCAAGCTGAATCCAGACCAGGGTTCAGTTGTGACGGCCATTCATTTGCCATCGCCATCTTGGCAGAGAAATGCAACGGGTTTAACGTGCCATTGTGGATCGCTACGTTTGACTTCAAGAAAGCTTTCGATGCCATGGTTCATGCTAGCATTTGGGAAGATTTGGTGGCTCATGGTGTCCCTTCGATGTATGTGAGAACGCTGTCAAGGTTATACAGGGGGGCAGCGAGCACATGTATGCTGCGACGTGGCAAGTCGTGAGTTCAAGATTCCACGAGGGACCAAACAAGGTGACCCGATTAGCTAAAAAGTATCCTCGCGGAGGTCACGCGGAAAGTGGAAGCTAAATGGACGACCAAAGGGTACGGCAGGCAATTGGGTTACAGCGATTACACCGTGCTCACCAATTTGCGGTCAGCGGACGACATCCTTTTAGTAGGCAGATCGCTACCACACATTATGCGCATGATTGAAGATTTTCAAAGAGAGAGAGAGAGAGAGTGCACAGGTTGGTCTGGAACTGCACCCCGAGAAAAATATTCAACACAGTAACGTTGGTTATGGTAGCAAGGTGAGAACGGCTATGGTGGGCAGCATGCAAACCGAAGTCATGGACCCACACGCCAGCATTCTGTTTTTGGGAAGGGCTTTAAGACTAACGAAAAAAACACGACGCCGAACTCTCGTGCCGATTGAAGAAAGCATGGGCGATGTTTGGTGCTTTCAAGCAGGAGTTGATTGACATATCCATCCCGACCAATCTCAGAATGAAGCTGACCCATTCTGTGGTGACTCCAGCTGCATTGTATGGTTGTGGCAGCTGGGTGATGACAGTTGGGAAGGATTCAATATTGAAAAGCACGCAGTTCAAAATGGTCAGAGCGACCCTTGGACGACGACGTATTGTTCAACCGGGGGGCGACATTGAATCGTGGGTGGAATGGGTACAACGTGTTACGGACGAATCACGACGTGTGACGGAGCAGTTCAATATTCTTGGATGGATCGACGAGCGGCGCTCTCGTCTACAACGCTGGAGCGAGCGATTGGGCAATATGAGTCTCGAGCGCTGGGCCGGGAGAGTCCAACTTTGGATTCCAGAAGGACACAGATCCCGCGGACGCCCACCGGCACGATGGGCCGACCAATTTCCACTGAGCCCTTCGGGCACGCAGCTGGGCGCCCGCGCGCGTGGTTCGTACTCAGTGTTCCGTTCCGTCCCGTTCTTTTTTCTTATCTTCATCTATGGGGGCTAACTATGTTGTACGTTCCCCCCCTCTCACTCTCTCCCTCTGTCTCACTCTCTCCTTCCTCACTCATATTTTCCCTCCGTTTCTTCCCCTTGTCTATAATTGTTTTTTGTTGTTTCTCTCTCTCTCTCTCTCTCCCTCACTCTCTATTCGTATACACCCAAGAGAGAAAGAGAGAGAGGGAGAGAGCGAGAGAGACACCAGAATACGGAACAGCAGTGCGTGGTAGTCGGCGGCGATCTTGGCCCGCCGTCTACATGACGCAGGATGGAGTGGCCAAGGCCGCCTAGGAGGCGGTTCGGGCCATCGTGGCGGCAGCTGGGGACAAGGAGCGCCGGGAGCCGGCCCTTATCAGGCGGGAGTTGTTGTTGCTGCGTGGCGGCGGCAGTAGCTCGCTGCACAGCAAGGCGAAGCAAGGTAACGACCGCGTCGTAGCCGGCATGCGACGCGCCGCCCGCGGTCCAGAAGACGCTGCAGGACACGGGCGCGTTAAACGAGGTAATCCACTGGGCGCCCTTCATTTTGGGATCGGCGCTTTGCTCCCGTTGTTCAAAATAGCGCCATCCCCCCAGTGGTGGCCACATTTCTGGACCCGAATCATTCCTCATCGTTGTGGCCCCCCTCCTTGACCCTGCTCCGCCTTCCCCTGCAGCTCCTGCTTCTCCACTCCTGCTGTTGCTGCTGCTGCTGCTGCTGCTGCTGCTGCTGCTGCTCCTGCTGTTGCTGCTGCTCGCTCGTCCGCCTCCTTCCTCCTTTTCCTCCTCCTCCTCCTTCTCCTCCTCCTCCTTTTCCTCCTCCTCCTCCTCCTCCTCCTCCTCCTCCTCCCCCCTCCTCTTTCCATCCTGCTCTTCCGCCATGCTCCTCCAATATGCGCAGTTCCCCGCTCCAACTGCGTATAACACGATTGGTGTCCTTTTGGGAGTTCCAGGCCCGCTACGACACGCACGCGTCAGCGGATAGAAAACACATCAGCACAATGAAAAGGGGTGGGGAGGGTAGGATGTCAGATGTGGCGCGTGAGCACCTATCTTGCCTTCCCCTCTCTCCTTGTCCCTTTTCGCTGTCGCCTTCTTCCCCCCGCACTACATCATGCCGTGCCGAAGGTGCTGCCATGGCCAAAGGGGCCGCATTGATCACACAGCGTCTCACATGGAGGTCGTACCGGTGATCTTCGCATCTCCCCGCCCTGCTCCCCTCCTCCCTTTTCTCTTTCCTTCATGACGTGGGCCTCCTTTCCGCAGACATCCGCCGCATCGTCTTCCGAGAAGTGTGTTGGTAGGATTTATAGTATTTCCAGTTTTTTTTTTAATAGTGGACCTTGAAAATGGTTCCTGCGGTGTGTCGGGTGCAAATTTGATCGCAAGCTCTTTCCCTCGCCCTCTCGCTCCATCCCTCTCTCCCTTCCCTCCCTACCCCCCCCCCCGCCGTCCTTCATCTGCCACATTCGCTCCCCTCCCCTTTGCGCCCCTCCTCCGCGCCGCCCCCTCCAGACCCCTGCGGCAGAGGCGACGACGACGAAGCCGGCGGCGGCGGCGGCGGCTGCCACAACGACGATGACAAAGACGACGACGCCGACGACGGCGTCGTCCAGGGTGCCGCGGCGGCGGCGCGGCGGCGACGGCGGCGACGGCACGTCGCCGCCCGCCCCGCGGGGAGGCCCTCCTGCAGGAGTGCCAGCCCTCGTCGGGCAAGCGGCTGCAGCGGCGCGCCGGCAGCGAGGCACCTGTCCGCCCGCCCCCTCCCCGTCTGCGGGGGTGGCGCCCTGCGCCGCAGGCAGCGGGGCCTCTTCGGGTGCTGCTGCTGCTCCTCCTCGGAGGGGGGGGGACAAGGAGGAGGACATCGGACGGGGCCAGGACGAGGACAATCGGCGGCGAGCGAGGGGGGGGAAGTGAGAAGGAGAAGGCCTTCTAAGGAGGTGGCGGGAGTTCTCAGAAGCACTCGCGCCTTCTGAAAGATTTTCTGCGCCTCCAGGGAATGTTGACAAGACTTTTCAGAATGCTTAGGGGATTTCCGAGCCTTCTGAGAAGGCCGCCCATTCTCGGTTCCCCCCGCGCTCGCAGCCGAGACAAATTCGTTCCAGAGCGTTCCGAAACGCTCTCAGATCGTTCCGCGGCGTTCCGAGCAGGCCGCGGCGCCCGAGACATCCTCCAGAGCCGCCGGATCTCAGAGTCTCCCTATTGATTATTACCCGATGTTGTGCTTGCCCTGGGTTCGTCTTAGGGCAGGGAGGAAGAGGCACGCTGGCCAGGGCGAGCGAGCCAGGAGGGCCCCGCCTCATTCCCACCGTCCCACCCATGACGTAAGGATCAGTTTCTGCACCACCTGAGATTGGGATTGGAACGTGCTCCCACCTGGCGAACGGAAGGCCCTCGCGCGTCTTCCCGTTTCCGAAGACGTGGCGACGGGAAAGCACGTGGCCCGCGCAGGGGTGGGAGTTTCAAGTCTGATGAGAGCGGCGAAGACGAAGCATGCTCCGCGAATCTGATTGAGGCTTGAGGACCTCCATGCTACTGGCTTCCAACTCGGACCCGCTCTCCTTGCTAACGTAGTTAGGGCCTAACTTCTAGCGGAGCGATGGTAGCAATTCTGGCACGTCTTGGTCTTCTGGACAGCTGAGGGTGGGACGTCAAACCCTGCTGCGGCGGCATCGTGGATCTGGCGGTGGCTCTGCATCCACCCGATTGCGGCCAGCAAGTCCAAGGTTGTATTGACCACATCTTCGAAGTAAAGGAGGAGGAGGAATTGGAGGAGGAGGAGGAAGCTCATATCGGGAGTTCCACGATGATTGCTGGGGCCCCTGCCGGAAATATTGCTACGAGGTACAGCGTTTGCTCTGGCTCCAAAATCGTGGCCAGCTCGATCTAGAATGACGTTGCCTGCAGTCGATTTGCTTGCATCGTCGAGTTTGCAATCTAGTTTTTCAACGTACCGTCCTGATTACTGGCACTAGAACCTCACATTGGCGTTAGAATTGTCTGAGGGTCCAGCCTTCTGACCGTGAGGGGAAGATTACCCTCCCGCTCACCCATTTCATCCACCTTCTCCTCCTCCTCCTCCTCCTCCTCCTCCACCTCCTCCGTTCTCCACCTTCTCCCCGCCCTCGCCCCCCGCTCCATCTTGTTATGCTTACAGCCCATCACGACGCAGCCAGTGTTTCCTTGGCCTCGTAGTTGCCTGACGTTGGGTTGCATGGAATTGCGAGCGGGGCGTCGCAGCGCCCTTTCCGTCGCGCCATCAGGGCGCGCTCGTGCCGTTTTTTTCCAAAGCCCAGGTTATGTCATATTTTGGTACCACGCAGGGCGATAATGCGTAATGTTCTCGATCTCTGACAGATGCGGCGTCAGAGAAGGATGCGACGTCGAATCCATGTCTGTCAGCGGGCTGGAGTCCAAGATGGCTCCTGATAGGCTCCCCTGAAGGGGCCGGGGGAAAAACGCGACTACCCACCCAAGGTTTGTCAATGTCTCACGCTCGGGCGAGTATCTCACTCTGAACTTGTGCTTGGGCCCTTGGTGTTAGTGTAGGGGTGCTTCGCGCGGGAATCTGCACTTCCGCGCGGCCTCTGCGCCGATGTGTCGTTGATTGTTGCTTTTCCGTGGCGTCGGCATGCGCGCGTTATCCTCGATGTGTACTGCTACGCGCCACCGTCATCGCCATCAGCTTGCTCGCGATCAGACCCAGCCCACACCCAACACAGACCCCAAACATATGCCCACAGTCTACCCAACCTAGGTACAACATATTCCCTATACACACCCACAATGAATTCAACGCAAATTCAAGACATACCCAACTAGTCCCGCGCAGAGGTGGTGCAAAACTCCACAACCTCGCGCGGGGCTTTTTGTTTGAATTACATGGCATTACAGGACACGCGCGGAATTTGAAAATCTCGGCCGGAGAGATGTGAAGGGATGCGGACGGAGCGTGAGGGGGGCCGAGGAGGATGAGGAGGAGGAGCAGGAGGAGGACAGAGGAGACAGGAGACAGGAAGAGGAGGAGGAGGAGGAGGAGGATGTCCAGACTGCACTGGTCCTCGAATGGATGTGGTCGGTGGTCTCGTGCGCGGTCGCCTGTTCGTGGGGGGCGGCAGAAGCCCGGGGGGGCGTCGTGCGCGACCCCACGGCGACCGGGCTTGAGACCGCCTCCGCACTCTGATGGGGGGAGGGGGTGGAGCTGGACCTTTGGCCCCGCCCTCCCCAGCCCCGTCCCGACTTCAGGCTGCGGTGAGCTGGTCAAAGGACTGGCCGCAGGAATGGGAATGGGCCCATCGGAGGAGGAGCAGGAGGGCCTCTGCGATTGGAGTTCTTGCATGCCTGTCCGACCGAGGCCCTGTCAGTGCACGGTGCGGGTTCGTGGCGCAGCGTCGGAAGGAAGGGAGGGACAGCCATGCCCAAGGGGGGGCCTCTCCACTTCTATCACGGCGACCCCAGCCTGGCCATACCCGACCCTCCAGCTACAGAGGGGGAGAGGAGAAGGGGCGCAGGCAAGGAGGACGCGCCGAGCAGAGAAAGTTGTACGATCTGTTAGTGCGCCGCAGGGGCCCACAATCTCGACACCGCAAGGTCGATGTCTCTGGCGAGGGTGGCTGCCTCCGCGAACAGAGGCCTCCCCTGGTCGGACCGATGGGATCTCGCGGACCGCCGCTTCACTGGACAGCGGGGACGAAGAGCCAGGTGCTGCCCAGAACGCCGCTCTCGCCCCGCCTGTGCTGCCGCAGGTCCCCAGGATGTGCAGGGCAGGCCTGAGAGCCTGCCACTGACAGCAGACGCAGACGTGCCGCCAGGCCCTCGAACGGACACCAGATAAGAGGCTCAGGACACGGACCTGGCACCAGAGCCGACCGAGGGGAACGCTGGCCGCAGAGGGCCGCGCTGGGCAGGCGGAGGGAAGACGCTGTGGAGAGTTCGTCCCGGAGCACGGGCCCAAGCGAGAGCGGATTTGGCACCCGGACCCGCGTGCGCAGCCGTCGTCGCAGGGCTGCGTTGCACTTGGCCTGAAGGGTGCTTTGGATGTGACCTGTGCGCGAGCGAGGCGGTCGCCCAGGTGCGCCCTGGAAACATACGGCCGCGCACATATTACGCTGTGTAGAGTCGGGGTTGGACAGACCTCCTACCCTGACACGTCGATTGAGGAATTGGCCGTTTTCGGTTCGCGAGAGGGCGGCGCGGCCGTCATTTTTGCGGGTCCAGGTCCGTCGGTTTCGGTCCCAGGCCGTTTTCACTAAGGGGAGGTTTACTAAAGGGAGGTTTGTCCATCGCCGATAGAGGCCCCCAACGGGAAGGAGCTACAAGCCAGCTTTGCGGGAGGCGATGCCCAGAATGGGGCAAGGATGGTTCCTCGGAGCGCCCGGGCCCAGCCTTCATACGCAGCGTGCAGCGTCCAGGCGCTCAAAGGCGCCATCGGCTTCGGCCAGGGGCCAACGCCCGAAACGCAGGGAGGCATCGATCTTCATGTCGAAGATGAGTGTCGCTGCGGCCACCGGGGAACACCTGCCGCCATGTGCCCCGCCAGGAACGCACACTGCGCAGAGGCCACGGCGATCCGCACCTCCAGCGCCCCAAGGAAGAGGACAGAGGCGACAGGATGAGGAGGTGAGAGAGAGAGGAGGGGCAGGAGAAGGATTAGGAGGATGAGGAGAAGGAGGAGGAGGAGCAGGAGGAGAAGGAGGAGGAGGTGGAGGAGCACTTGCAATCCCCTCAGCCGTCGTCGTCGCTCCTCGCCGTCCTCGTCGCCGTCGCGGTCGTCGGCATCGTCGTCGCCGTCGCTCCTCGCCGTCGTCGATGCCGTCGTGGTATTCGCCGTCGCCGTCCTCGCCGTCGCTCCTCGCCGTCGCTCCTCGTCCTCGTCCTCGTCCTCGTTGTCGTTGGCCTCGCGCCGCCCCGAGCCCGCCGGGCGCGCCGCCGCGAGGCGGGCGGCGCTGGCAGCGCCGGCGCGGGCGCGGGTGCTCTGGTGGCTGAAGACGACGGCCATCGGCGGCCATTGGCGGGCCCTCGGCGGGAATCGTCGCGGTATCGGCGGGCCCTCGGCCGGTGCCGTTGCGGCCGCCGACCCGGGCCATCGATGGCCGCCGACGAGGGCGCGGCGGGGAGGCGGCGCGAAGGGCGGCAGCGGCGCCGCCACCACGCGCCGTTTTTGTGTCTCCTCCGCTGGCGTCCGCCAGGCTTTGGCCCTGCTGCTGCTGCTGCTCATCCTCCTTCTCATCCTCCTTTTCATCCTCCTCCTCCTCCTCCTCCTCCTCCTCCTCCTCCTGCGCACTCCCCTAGAAGTCGATGTGTCCGCGATGTCCACAACAGTGCAGCGTGCAAGAGGAGAAGACAGAGACAAGGGTAGCAGGCGCTGGCGGGCCTCCTTGCCGCCGACGGCGGCGCTCCCGACCGACCCCCCGTAGGGGTCCATGGGCTCTTATTGGGAAGTGCCGCACACATGTGGGGGTGTGAACTGGCCGATCGAGCACGTAGGGGTCGATCCAGCAACACGCTCACATCAACACTTAGCAACGACTCGGCTCAAGGATGACGGCCAACAGACGGAAGGATAACTGAAACCGTCATGACAATCAAAACCAGCCTTGAGATCGTAATCGAACCTTGGGATGCCTGAAGCGTAACACATAATTGTCCTCCTGCACGCTTGCCCAGTCTTTGGGCGCAAGGTCTGCTCCCCACGGGTGGGCAAAGGCACGGAACGGCTTGGCACAGTTACCTCGCCTCGTGCACCACATCTCCACCTTGGGAGTCGCCAGCACTCCGAGCATTATCCTCGACAGGGTCAACTGAGTTAACTGATTACGCTCCGACTCCGTTGCGATATTTTCAGGAGCTACAGTCAACACACACAGCAAGCCCACGAGCAGCAAACATTTTCTCGCACCACCATTGCACGTCATGCAGTGTTCGCGCGCTGCTCGAAACACGCAAGATGTACATAACCGCTGCAGTGGGAATGGGCAGCGGGCGGGGGGGGAGCAAGAGGGGCCACGTTCGCCTCCACAGGAATGGCACGGCACACGGCACGGCACCAACCGCCAGGAAGCCCCAAGGAAACGGCCGCGCCAGACAGGCCAGGTCCACCAAAACGTGACGGTGGGGCAGTGGTTTTCTCCTTGCAGTATCCTTGCCTGCGCAGGCCTCTGGACAGCTTTGCATCTGGCTCACGTTCGCAAGCTGTTTGTTCAGGTGACATGACGGGCACCACCGCAAGCAAGTTGGCTTGACAAGATTGCTTACTGTGCCTGAGGTGCTTCAATAGTCTCAGCCTGGACTTGCAATCTCAACACCACGCTTGACAACAGGACCCCGATGCCAGCCGGCCAGCTGGATCAAGTTCTGGATGGACCTTCGTTTTGTGCGAAGCCCAAGGCGCGCGCGTGTACAACACGGCATCGCACCAATGGCACGGGAATACATGCACGGGGGAGGAGGCACGATGATGGGGGGACATGCCGTGCCTGTGCTGAGAGCATTATCTCGAAGCAAGTCTTGACACTCGAACCTGCGCATCTCTCTGCACAAACGCTTCCAGAAATGTGAACCTCGGACTCGGGTCAAGAGCCAAGTGCACCCACCAGTTGTGGGGCCCACAGGGTATCAACTCTCGGGGCAAACGCGCATGGTTTCCGAACCAGAGAAGGTCATGATAATTGAGACTTGTCCACGACAGATCTACCTGCGTCGCCTCACCTAGGAGCGACAAGTTTGCCATGGGAGCAGCCTTCACGAGCCGAGGTATTAACCAGGGCCGCCTCAGGCAGAGATTGTTCTCGAGCGGAGCCTGACCGACTGCGTTCAAGAGCCTGTGTCCTGCAGCATTGCTACGCGGAGGACCGTCAAACGTGAGGCCCGAGGCCTCTCGGACGGCTGTAAAACAACGATGTTCGAGCAATGAGGTCTGCTTGGCCAAAAGCCGAGACCATACAGACGTATTGTATAGCAAGTGAGGCGTGCACCGCTTGTGAATATACGTGAGTTTGTGCAATTGAGGCAGTTTACGGCTAGCCAATACAGCGCGCCTCAGAACACCCAGGGGTTGTTGCGTTGTTGCATTTGATGGCACTTGTGGGAGACCTCGGGGCCAAAGCAGAGCTGAGAGTCGATGTAAGAGCCTAAGTACTTGTATGTTAAATTAAGCGCCAACCTCACGCCCAGCTGTAGGATCTGTCGACACAGGGAAAAAAAGGGCCGCAGGCCGTCGCTTGCCTCGTAGGCGGTACCTAGCAGATGGCGGTTCCTCCCCCCCCTTGGCTCGAGAGTGATTTCGCGTCCTGGCCAGGCGGAGGAGCGGCCCCGCGGTTCGGCGGGTGCCGCCCCGCCGCCAGACGCCCCGAGATGGCGATCGCTCGCCTCCCCTCCCCCCGCGTCGTCTCCTCGTCCCCCTCCTCCTCCTCGAACACTGCAGGCAAGGCGGTCTGTCCGCCGCAGCCCGCGCCGCGCCGCCGCGCACGGCGCGACGCACGGCCCCCTTCCTCGGAGAGCCTCGGGAAGGGGCCTCAAACAGCCTCTGGAACCCAGGGCCACCCGCCACCAGCAGAGAGAGGAGCCTCAAGGGGCCTCGGAGAGAAGGAAAGCGGGGGCCCCGAGAACCCAAGGGCCGAAGGCCAACGGGACAACACGGGGACAGATCGAAGGCGAGGGCCGCCAGGGGCACGGGAGAGGGGCCTCCTGGACCAGAGGAGGGAGGGGGGGCCAGGCCAGGTTTAACGATCACTTGTGGATCGTCGAGGGTCTCCTCCTCCTTCTCCTCCTCCCCCTGGCTTGTGAGTGGTTCCGCGTCCCGGCCGGGCGGAGGAGCCGCCCCGTGGCTCCGCGGGCGCCGCCCCGCCGCCAGTCGCCGCGAGATTGCGATCGCTCGCCTCCCCTCCCCCCTCGTCGTCTCCCCCTCCCCCTCCCCCCCCCCGTCCTCCTCCTGTGATGCTGCCCGTCCGGTGGGATGGAGCAGCAGTGGCCGCTCGCAGTCCCCCCCCGTCCAGTCCTGCAAGGCAGCGGGGCCCGCGGGCGCGGCGAATAGCGGCACAGAGTCCTCCGCTGCTTTCTGTGGAATTTGTCGGAGGGGGGCGCGATTTGTCCGCCCGTCGTTAAAAAGCGTTCATGTTCAGTGGCAGCCAGGAGGACCTCATTTAGCCACTGGCGGTGTTGACGAACATCGATCTCGGACGCTCTTCGCACGCACGCCTCGGTAGCGGATGGGCCAGCACGCCCAAAAACAGCAGATAGGTTTGTACATTGCTGAAGGCGCTGTAGGCCCACCCGTGTAAATAATGGTCTGGGCAAGCCTATTTGGACGAAGACTTTGCTTCCGGGGAGCTCTCCGGGGAGCGGGCTGTCCAGCTGCGACGGTCGCCAGGCTGGGATGCAGGGAGCAACCCCCCCAATTTCCGCCCCAGTCCCAGCAGCTGTATCGCCACGCCGCCGGGACAAGTAGGGTTCTGGTCAGGATGGCCTCTGCTGTGCTGTGCCATGCGGCGCGTGAGGCATAGCAGGTATAGGATCAGTATCATCGATCTTGGTAGGTGCAGCGTCCTGGATGCCTGCGGGATGCGGCCAGGCGGGGATCCCAGCCCCTGGTCGCTCAACGAAGGCGAGCGTTCGCTTCCCCCCCCGTCCTCGTTCTGGCCCTCCTTGTCCCCGTCCCTGTCCTCCTTCTCCCCCCCTGGATTGAGAGTGGTTTGGCGTCTTGGCCAGGCGGAGGAGCGGCCCCGCGGTTCCGCGGGCGCCGCCCCGCCGCCAGACGCCTCAAAGGCTCCGTAGCGGTGGCTGGCAGCCGTCTGGCTCCAATCACAAGCCACTGGCGCCCAGCGGCATCCTGCCAGAGGCCAGAGGAGGGTCCAAGCCGCTTGACGAGCACGTGTGGCCACAGTGGCACTGCAGGAGTTGCCTCTCCTCCTTCCTCCCTCCCCTCGCCTCCTCTGCCTTTCCCCTCCTCGCTTTCCCCTTCATGTGGTGTAGGCGTATTGTTGGGCATCCCAGCCTTGGGGCAGTCCGCGAGGGTGTAGTCCCTTTGATGCTGTTTCTCGTCATGTTCGATTATCCGTCCAAGAAGGTGCATGCGGTAGCTGGTAAGCATGAGTTGTTTTTCAGTTCTTCGTAGTGTGAATGCTTTGAGTTGGTTTGAGGCCAACCGGCTCTAGGCGCCGCCCTGCTGTCGGCTGACAGCGGCGCGGCCTGTGGCTCCAGTGTCCCACCGGGTTCGCCCGCCAGGCACTCCGCCCCACGGAACGCTGCTACCCATCGGCCTGTGGCCCCATTGTGGGTGACGACGGGCGCGTGCAGCATATCACAATACTCAGTAGATGTGACATCGCCTGTTGAATGGTACGCAGGTTTCAAGCGACCTTGCTCCCTCTGTTTCGGCATCGAGGCTGTCAGCAGCAGGCTCATTTGATTTGTTTCCCCTTCCCTCCTCCTCTTCCTTTTGCCTTTTCCGCCTCCATCTCACTTCTCCCCCATTTGTTGCGGCTCGTGCGGCGTATCGTCCACGACAGTTGCTCATTCAGTTGGCCAGGGCATCCTGGTTGGCCGGGCCGCTCAATATGGTGCTCCCTCGCCTTCGCGTCGAGTTGTAGGAAGATGCACAACGTGCGCGGCCTGAGTTCATTTTCTGGCTGCCGCTCACGCTCTGGAACGGGATGCTTCTCTTGGGGAAACAATAATTTACCAAATTATCTTACAACATTTTCCGGTCATTCGTTGCGCGGGAGAAAAAAACGTTTCAAGCATGGGTCGGCGTCTTCTTGGTTGGAAGTTCTGTACGTGTCGACTGTGGGTGAGATACTGTAGCTTGAGTAGGCGGCACATCCCAACCACATTCATGCAAGTTCGGCGGATTATAAGGGCATCGATCGCGTAGGCCGCGCCGCGGGCGCCGGCCAGTAAAGTTGCAACGGCGAAAGAGAGACGCGGGACGGCAGCACACGAACCGCCCTCCTCCTCGTCCTCTTTCTTCTCCTCCTCCTCCTCCTCCTCCTCCTCCTCCTCCGCCCTTCCTCCTCCTCCTCCTCCTCCTCCTCCTCCTCCTCATCCTCGTCCTCCTCCTCCTCCTCTCCTTCTGCTCCTCCCTCCCTCGCTCCCTCCCTCCTTCCCTCGTCCTGCTCTCCCGCATCGACGGTGACGGTCAAGACGGCGACGCCTAGGGCGGAGGGCGGCGGCGTCAACGGCGGCAGCATTGTCGTCGTGGTCGTCGTTCGGGCATCGAGATTCGAGAGGCGAGGCTTTTGGACGTTTTTGGCCGAGAGTCGATGCTCGACCATCGAGGTTCTAGTGGCGAGGTTCGAGCGTCGAGCTTTGAGCGTAGACGTTCGAGTGTCGTCGTCGTGGTGGTCGTCGCCTGCTTTCGAGCGTTGGTCTTCGAGGTTTGGGACAACGCCTCCCGCGGCGGGCTGTGCAGAAAGCCCCGCCCTCGACGGTTAGACTTTCTCACAACATGAGCCCCCAGATGTTTGAGATATCGCCGCTTGGGTACGCTGACGGGAAGTCAGGTGGTAGGATTTAGGAAGGCTTGAGCCCACCCTCAACAGTTTCCGGGGGGCGCCGAAGCCCTCCCTCCCCCCACCATCGAAAGTGAGGTCGGGGAAAGGGGGGTGGACCTACCCCCTCTCCAACGCTCTCCACCACCGCACCGGCTGGCAAATAACGACGACGACGACGGCAGCGAGGATGACAACAACGACGACGACGACGACGACGAGGACGACAGCCCACTAAATATCCTTGCGCTGGCAAGCGAGGACGACGAGAACGACGACGACGACGATGTGTCCCGCCCGCCCGTCCGACAGACCCGCCCACGACGGCGTCGTATCCTTGCCGATCGACTGACCGACTCGCCGACGACGACGACGATGACGACGGCGACTGCGATTGCGACGGCGAGCGACGACGTGTGCCGCCCGACCGACCAACTCAGAGACGACGGCGACAGCGACGGCAACAGCGCGGCGACGGGCGACGGCGACGACGGCGGCGGCGGCGGCGGCAGCGACGACGGCGGCGACGACGACGACTACTGCCGGTGGCAAGAGGAAAGGGGTTCGGAGTGTCTTGGGAGGGGGAGTGGGGCGGTTCCAGAGGGGCGGGGGGCGGATGGTTCCCAGAGAGGGGGGACTTGTGCCGCCAGCGAAGCGTGTACATCCGTCGCTCTGTCATTTGTCCCGACCACTTCTGTGGGCCCAGCTCTTCATCCCGAGTCCCATTCTGCTGGTCCCAGGGCCAGGAGAGGACCCACGGGGCCCACAACTACTAAAGCCCATCCGTCGGGATTGTTTTACGACGCCAGGCGGCACAGGAGAGTCCCGAAACGCTTCCCAAAACAACGGAGTCGACGGCGGTCGACGTCGCTGCGCACAGGGCCCCCGCGGCGCAGGCGACGACCACGTCGGCGGCGGCGACGCCCCGTGGGCGCCAGGCGCGAGGCGCGGCGCCAAGGGCGCGGCGCCCGTGCCCCCCGCGAGGCGGCGGCCCTGAGCGGCGCCCGTCCGGCGTCCCTGCGGCTGCCGCAGCTTTCGCGCCGCGCCCTCTTGGAGCCAGCCTGGGGTCTGAGGTGGCGCAGCACCGGTTCTCTCGGGCGCAAAGTATGCCGCCCAAATTCCGTCTTTAGCGTCGATTAGCGTCGAGCAGCGTCTGGTCATCAATGAGGCAGCGCCGATTTAGCGTCGATTGTCATCGGTTGGCGTCGAGTATCACCGTTTTAGCGCCGAGCACCATCGATTAGCGTCGGTTGCCGTTGGCCAACAAGAGGTTAGGAAAGGCCCCCATGAGTTGCCGCCGGAGGTTACAGCCAGCAGGCGGCGGGCAGGTTCGAGGTGCTGGGCTCGATAAGTTAAGCTTTGTTGCTCACTTCGGCCTCCAGGGGCTGGTTTCGGGCCCCGGGGCAGTCACACACAGATATGAGGTGGAAACGCTGCACCAGATGGACCCCGGGAGGGGTCTGGTCTGGGGACCGATTTTGAGCGGGTGTGCCGTCGTTCCCGCGTGTTGATCGATCTTTTGGGGCCTCATCCAGTTCACTTCGGGGAAGCGTAGGACTCGAGAACGCATGACCTCGGGTTTGCCGACGCTTTTTGACGGCCGCGTCCTGGATTTTGACAGTCCAGTTCTCGTCGTTTTCATGATGGCCCCTGTCAGGCCAACCAGAGTCCCCCGAACCCGAGCCTCACGTCTCCCCGATCAGACCCCCATGGCCGCCTCCAATCGCTCTCCCACATTTTCCGCCAGGGCAGCCGCGCCAGGGCAACCGAGCATAGCTGGTAGACGCACTCGGCCAGAAGCGGGCGACGTCGGACGGCGTCGGCGGCGGCGACCTCGACCACGACCACGACGGGGGCGACCACGGCGACGACCACGACCACGATGGCGATCATCGTGACGGCGACCACCCCGACGACGTAACACGGCCACGGCCACGACACATCAGACGATCGCAACGACGAGAACGGCGGCGGCGACAGCGGCGGCGACGGCTTGCCATTAGGGGAGAAGGGGTCCTCAGGAAGGGGGTCCCACCATGTGGTGTCCTTACGGCTCTCTGACGATGTACACCCTTCCTGAAGTATCGAGTGGCGCCCTGGGGTACAGCACCCCCCTCCTCAGGACCCTTTCCCACCATGGAAGGCGACGACGACCGCGACCATGACCACACCGCCGACGACGAACAGACGACGACGACAACGACGACGACGGCGACGAAAACCGACGACCTCGTCGCGGGCGGGGAGCGTACGCATCCAAGGGCGATCGAGGGCGAGGGGAACGGCTACATAATCAACAATCATGCGATATGAGGAAGGAGGAAGCGAATGTGGATGAGGAGGAGGAGGGAGGGAGGGAGGGAGGGAGGGAGGGAGGGAGGGAGGGGAGGAGGAGGAGGAGGAGGAGAGGAGGAGGAGGAGGAGGAGGAGGAGGAGGGAGAGGGGGGGAGGAGGAGGAGGAGGAGGAGGAGGAGGAGAGGGGAGGAGGAGGAGGAGGAGGAGGAGGTGGAGGTGGGCCACCAGCACCAACAGCACACGAACCTGCGCCTCCACCCAATACGTAGATGCCAACCCCTGCCACGGCTCCAACAGACAAAACCATTGCAGCCTGTGGCAACCAATCCCTGGGGAGACGAAGACATTACAGCAGTACTACCAACCACTACTGGACGGCACTCGGACGACGAAGACAGCTACCAAAGGAGCAGCGGCGACGATTGCATGTACGCTCCAACGCCCTTTACACTGACATCACTACCACCAACAGAAGGACGTGATATGCACTGTCCACCAGGCTGGAAAGCATACTGTCCCAAGGACGACTGCAGTGATGAGGACAGCGACGAGGACAACTGGCACTTCGCAGTATATTACAATGCTACCAACAACAACTTTATACATTGCTTCCCAAACGACAACCTGCCATTGGCTGGATGGCCCAGGTATGTTGACACATACAATCGGGAATCCTTCATCAGCAAAAATCAACAACACGTATTGCGCATCCACCGCTCAAGCCAGACAAGGCCAGACGATCAACCACGCGTACTGCTAGGACGAAGCCTGCAAGGCTTTGCAGTGCACTACCTCATATTAGCAGCCAACCTTACCTGCACAAACTTCACAGCCTTACTCAGCGCACTTACAACAAAGAATGTTCGACACAACCGGGCAAACCATCATCACAGTATAGCAGAGGTGGCATTCATGCCACGACTACGACGGAGACATGACATATGACTGGGCACTCCTTATATACGACACAATACGGCTCTCAGAGCACATGCGCAGTCAAATTGACATGCCCCACAGTACAGGAGACGTCAGGGACTACAGGCTCTCATCATCCGCGCCAAGCCCTGCAGACGGCGACCACTGGCCAGAAGGCACCACCCACCAGACAGAAGCCACACCACCCATCACGGCGAACCCATATAACGGCACATGTAGAAGACGGCAGCGGCAAGCGATTCCTGCAGCACCTGCACACCATTCGGAACCATCAGTAGCAGTACCAACAGCACCTGGAAGAAAAACGACAACGACAGTATTTGACACGGCAGTGGTAGCACCGACTATGCCCAAGTACAAGTTCTTTACGCCAGAACACAAAGCCCCACCAACACCTCAGCCAATGTTCCCCACCAGACAGGCCGATGGTGGAGACTACTGGGGGGTAGAACGCAGACCCCCACACAGACCACCCACTGCACGACAGCACCTAAGAGGATAGACCACCACTCTTGGCAAACGATTTTGTGGATACTTTGGTACTTGGGTTTCTACGACACCGCGTCCTCAACCTCCTTGTTTTCCACTACACCCAGTGTCGCGTCACAGCATGGAGGAAGCGACGGGTACTTGTCTACGGCCCCACAGCCTCCACATCAGCTGCCTCCAGCACTTCACGCACTTCCAGTACAAGGGTTACTGATCGGCCCGTCCTTACCTCCCATAGTTTGCTTTTGCCCAAGGTCTCTCATTTAATCCGTTTACATCTCAACCCCTCTCGCGTCTACTTAATTTACCCTACTGCAGTTGCAGTTGCGCTCGGCCTTCGCTTCGCAGATCGCACACTACTTTGGCAGACCTCTCTAACTGTCCCTCCTGCTGTCGTTTCCTTCGTTCGGCGTTCGTTCGTCTCTTCGGTTCCTCTCGCCCTTCCCGCTCCTTTCGTTGGCCGTCGGCCTCTCCTCCTCCCTCAGGGGCCGTTTTCAGCTGCTGACAGGCGAACGGTGCGCTCCCGAGTGTCCGCTTGCGGATGCATGTGAGTTCGGCCACGGCTTGGCACCGCCCTTGCTCCCCCTGTTTGTCCTTTTGTCTCGCGTGGCTGCTTGCTGTCGGACCGCACTCTTTGCTTGCACTTCGGCAGGTCTATTTTGAATTCGCCTGGCGAAGGACCCAACCATATGCAGTTGTAGCGCAATTGTGTGTATCGTCTTCGGTGGAGCTCTCTATTTGGTCACGATGCGTGTGAGGGGACTGTCGAAGTTTGTGGCGGGGACGCATGCGAACACCGCGACTGGGGCCTTCGGTGGGGCTCCCTCATGGGGCCACAAAACGTGTGATGGGTGTGCCGGGATTGGTAGCGGGGACGCATGAAAACACCGCCACTGAGGCCCTCGAAGCGTGTGAGGGGACTGTCGAAACCGGTGGCCGGGACGCATGCGAACACCGCGATTGGGGCCTTCGGTGGAGCTTCGTATGGGGCCACGAAACGTGTGCGGGGTGTGCCGGAATGGGTGGTGGGCACGCTTGCCCGCCACTGGGGTCTTTGGTGGAAGCCCCCATGGGGCCACGAAGCGTTTGAGGGTTGTGCCGAAATGGGTTGCGGGGACGCATGCAAACACCACCACTGGGGCCTTCGGTGGAGCTTCCCTATGGGGCAACGAAGCGTGTGAGGGTTGTGCCGACATGGGTGGCGGGAACGCATGCGAACGATTTAATCCTCACTTGAATTCATCCTCGTCCTGGCATTGTCTTACCCGGAGGTCTCCAGTCTCGACTGCGTCTCCGGTGGTCGGCCTTCCTCTCGGATGCAGTTTCGGTGGCCCCAGGGTCCGAGGACGGCCCCCGGACGCCAAAACGAAGGAAGAAAGCCGCCTGCACAACGCTCACCGCCGAAGGGACTCAACGGAGGACCTTGGGGTCTTCAGCCTCGTTGATGCGTGTGCTGGGGAGCCAGCCTCTTCCAGCTGCTGATGTCGGCGGAGGAGAAGGAGATGAGGAGGAGGAGGAGGAGGAGGAGGAGGAGGAGGAGGACACTGACGAAGACGTCCTCGACACGCCGGCCTTGGCGAGGGCGAGGGGGGGGGAGCAGGACGAGCGGGCGGCGTGGCGCCCGGAAGCCTGGCCAGTTCCGCAGCTCCACAGCTCCACGGCTCCGCGGTTCCGCGGTTCCGCGCACGGGCGCCGCTCGGCTCTCGCCCCACCGCCCAGCCGCCATGCCGTTCCCGCCGCGCGGAGGCGCGGCGCCGGGGAAGGGAGGGGGAAGGAGAGGATGGAGGCCCCTTTCCCCTGCTTCTCTCGCGCGCACGCGCCTCTTCCCCGTGGACCTGGCCTGATGGCTCTTGCGTTGATCGGAGCAGCTCTTGCCCAGAGTTGCGAGCAGCAGGCAGAGTTCAGACGATAGACTCCATCCGCGCTGCGAGTGACCGCTAGCAGGGAGGAGGGGGCCCCGCTCTTCGGGTGGATGGGGGGCCACTGCTCACCAGCCTGAAACATTTCCCCATCATTATGATGGGCACCACCTCATTGCGATGCCGAGCTTGATGATTCCCTCATTTTCTGAGGGCCCCCTCCCCACGGTTGAAATCGCCTTTGGGCTTGTCAATCTCAGGGATAGGGGATGGACATAACCTCGAGCATTGTTCATACCTCCAGGAGCGATGGGTGGGATGAGGGAGGAGGAGAATCGTGGAGGGGGAATGCCGATGGCCGTTGTTGAACGGCTCTGGCACACACCCCGATGAAAGAAGGGAATGGAGAGGGAAGGGG